GTGGTGCGATCTCGGCTCATTGCAACCTCCACCTCCCAGGTTCAAGCGATTCTCCTACCTCAGCCACCCCAGTAGCTGATATTAAAGGCATGCACAACCACCACCTGGCTAATTTTTATATTTTTAGTAGAGAGGGGATTTCGCCATGTTGGCCAGGCTGGTCTCAAACTCCTGACCTCAAGTGATCCATCCACCTCGGCCTCCCAAAGTGCTGGGATTGCAAGCGTGAGCCACTGCACCCAGCCTGATCCTTGCATTTTTTTATAAGAGCAAAAGATTGGAAGCAACCTAAACATCTATCAATAGGCAACTGATTAAATGATTTATGGTACATACTCAAAACAGAATACTATGCAACCATAAAAATAGAACAGGAACCCCTTTCGTGTAAGAATAAGGAAAGAGTTCCACATATGAAGTGAAAAAACAAGATGCAAATGGGAGGTATGTTATGCTAATAATATGTAAAAGAAAAAATATGTATACATGGGAATTTGTTTAGAAATACATAAAATACCACTGGAATAATCAATGATAATTAGGAAATTAATCACATTTGTTGCCTCTTCGAAGAGAAACTAAGTGGTGAGGAGTCCAGGTAAGACTACGAGTTTTCACTGTTTAACCTTTTATACTTTTTGAATTTTAGCATATAATTACACGATCTAATGATGGGTTGAATTTGAAAACTAAATAAAACCCATTGAATTTTCTAAGCAAAATACATTTGACCCTTCTTCATACTGAAGGTCCACACCACTTAGAGCAGGTACCTTAAAGGAGGTAAAGAAGAGAGCCTCTTGGTTGCAGCATCTCTCAGAAAGCTCCCTATATTTACTTTACATTTCCTGTCTACTCCCCTCATTCTCCTTATTTCCTAAAACAAGCATTTGAGCCCCAAATCTAACCTGCTCCCTCATGACCCTTCCTCTTTATCGCCACACAGGGGAGGATGACCTCACAGTTGTTTTGTGAAAGCCAGAACCCCACTCCAAGCCTCTAGCGATAACTTTCCCAAAAAAAGTGAAGACACGAAGTGAAAATGTCAGTCAAACACGTTGAATATAAAGACCTTTCCTAATATGGTAAAATCGCAGCATTAAAGTAAAAGCATGGAAAATATGACAGTGAATCCATCATCTCATCTTTTAAACACCTTACTATCTATATATGTTCATGACCCTGTCTCTTTAGCACTCCAGATTGGGAAATGAGGATAATGCCTTTTACTGTATGTTCAAGTAAACACAGAAAAGCATAGTAGCTCATCATTATAGGGAAGACCATAACAATGGCAGAAGGAACAAAAAGTCAAATGCTTGTATTTCCATTATGTAACTAGACCAACTAGTTGAACAAAATATATTTTTAAGTGATTATTTCCCAGGGTTCTCTTTAGGATAACGCAGCAATATTTCCAATTTGTGCTCCTTGTTGACTACAGGTCCTAAATTAGTTACATATGCTTTGAGTCATTTGCCTTTTTGCATCTTTCTCGAAAATCTACAGTTGATAATCACAAGATTCAAGCTGAGGTAAAATATTGTCAGTATTTTTAAGCACCATTTGGCCGAAAACATTCCTTAAGGACACACACACACACACCACCACCACCACCACACACACACACACACATGCTGGTGAGTCATAGACAGATTGTAGCATCTTATTTTGAGACTTCCCTGCCCACCATAATATTGCCACACATCTGGCCCATCTTCAAAATGGTGACTTGTCACTGGAACAGCATTCATTCTACTCTCCAAGGCCGGGTGGCACTCATGCAAAAGTAGTACATCCCTTCTAGCTCCTTACTTCCGCAGAAATGGAAAACATGAAAGGAAATATTGAAATAAAAGCCAATATGGAAAACGTGTGTTTTCATAATCTTAAATAAGGCTTTTTATTTTTTCAATGAATTTAATTGGTATGGAAATACTGATACAGTTATTTGAAAAAGTATAGATTTAAAGATTTTAATGCTATAGCTTAAAGTTTTAATAAAAAGGCCAGTGGTGATAAGAAAAAAATGTAATGAAGTAAAAAATGTGCAATAAAGATTTTATGTGGTGCCCAACAGTGACAACTTGGCTGTAATCTCTTCAGCTTGTGTTTAGCCAAAATTTGCTCTACATATTTTCATAGCAAGGGTGTTATCTAAATTAACAAAAAATAATACAGTTATTGCTCCTCAGTATTTCTATACTATTCACCTGGAAAAACTGCATTTTAAGGGCTTCTGTTTTCTCCTAATAAAATAATTTTTAGTTATATCAATAACAAGTGACAAAATATTCTTTGTATTATAATTCAAGTTAATTATCTTATTCTTCAAATGCACAATTTTAATTCTGAATTGTTCTTTATATGATCAAACCTTGCTTTTAATGGTATATATAATTTAAAGCATAATTTAAAAATTGATTATAAGTATAAATGTAAATAAAGTATAATTTATAATTAATTTGACTTTTCTACAGCTATTCAGTTCAATACTTAATATTTTAATAACTACATTGAAAAATCTCATGAATTAAAATATTCCCTTTATAAGGAACCAAGTGTTGTTATAATAAGTGTTTTCTTTAGA